CGAGGCCCGAGAAAGGGAGACGCACGAAGTCCAAATATGGGCAAAGATAGTCGAGCGCCATTATGCGCAGGCGCATCTACCAAGTGAGTGCGAGCGAGACAAAGCTTTGGAAAGTGAGACAGAAATAACGCGAAAAAGAAAAATGCCCAAGCGTGCTTGAATGTTCACCGCATGCGCACAAAGCAGCTGGACCTTGCGCGAGAGAGAGGCTACTATATTGTCTGCACCGTAACATTTGAGCTTCAGGTCGGCACCGTACTAGCAATATAGAAGTATTATATATATGCAAACAACCATATATGTAATACTCCTATATGGCTAGTTGAGCAAGTTTTCCATAAGCGGGACTTGTCCCAACACTGAAGGACAGAAGATAGATGCTTATTGGCTCTCCAAGAAAGAGTAGGAGGAGTGTTCAATAATTGGTAATGCGCAAGCGTTAAAATATCGAGGTTATACTTCACGTCACATGTGCTATAGATTTTCAGTACTGGCAGTGAATATCGGAACGCAGCCAATATAAGCATTATGGATACATGTCACGCATGCGCTTTTGAACAAATTGAACAGTGATAAAGAGTAATAAAGAGAGTAGAGCATTGTCTGCACCGTAGTGTTGGAACCGCGCTGACAGCTCAACTAGCCATATAGAAGTATTACATATATGCAAACAACCTTCAGCCATATTTATATGGGCTACTAGTGCTGCTATCTATTTGATGAGAGTGGTATTATTTCAACACATTAAGAGTAGTATTATTTGACGTTGATGCGTATTAATTTGTTAGTGACAGGAAGAAAGTGTGAAAAATTTTAATAAAGAGAGGATTAAGAAGAAGAAAGAGAGATAAGTAAGACAGAATTAAATTAAAATAAGTCTTCCGCAATCTACACGTTATATTACATTTAATACTATAGGTTTAAATTTATAGTTAATAGTTAACATAAGCGTTACGGATGTATTAATTAATCAATAAAACTTGTATGATTGATCGTATGATCGATAATTATGAATTTGACACTGAAAAGTATATTAATCAAGTTTCAGTTGAACACGATCATCCTTATATTGCAGCATTAATTTATAATATTCTTAATTTAGATCAATATTCTATAGAAGTCATAAGTTACATAGCTGGATTTATTGTAAGACATTTAATTAAATACATCATGTGTGATATTTGTGTTAATGCCTTAATTGATAATAATAAATCAAAGAAANTTATACAAATAAAAGATCGTAGAAGTTTAACATGTCCTTCAGAAAGCGTGATAAAAATATGCCTTGAAACAGAAAAGATTATCAGATTTGCTATAAAAAAAAATAATATAACTTTTAGTTCAAAATATTACGTTCCTTATATTACACAAAATGTACTTTTAACTTTAAATATGATTAATATATTTGAAGAATTGATAACACATTCATGTGATCAAAACTTTTTAACATGTCATAGAATAAATTTAATTAAAAGTATTATAATAAAATATGTACAGACAAGATTTTTTTCTATTGTAAAACAGAATAATAAGAATATTAATGTAAGCAAGAGACATTTTTATAATAAATTAATATTATTTGCAGGACAGTAAATTATGTTTATAAGTAATTTTTTTCATTTACTTATTTATTTACTTATATTTATTAAATGTTATAAATATCTATAATATAATATCTATAATTAATATTTATTAAATTTTGTTTTTTGTTGTTAGTTTTTTAAGTAAATATGTTTATTAGATTTCTTAAAATATCATTCTTGGCATTATTCTATCGAAGTATTGTAAAGTTCTAACAGATGGCAGTACTAGTAGCCCATATAAACATGGCTGCATAGGCTTCATTTTTTTTCGACAACGCTCCCTCCTTTATCTCCATGGTTGCGAACAACCAATTGCTACTATTTAGTTTGTACGGCGCTCGCTGGCGCTACGAGCAAGCGCCCCGCTTGCTCTCCGATCCCCGCGCCTACTCCGCGAATTTTTGACGCCGTCTGTACGTAGCTGAAAAGCTCCCAATCATAGACGTAGAATATATAGATATACTGCACGTTTGGCTGAAAAGATGTCTCTATGGTTGACAGAGACAACATACTTTAAACAGCAGAGAGAAGCCTGAGAGCGGCCATGCCATTGTAGTTTCTTACGACGGTTTCAACCGCTGGTTTTAGCCGTATTTCCACAAAAGTGGAACTCAAAGGCCGTTCTACATTAAACTCAGGTCTCAGATCTCGTGGAATTGACCAATTGCAGAGTCAAATCAGCCAATCGACCAACGTGATTGATCAGTTCCACGAGACCTGCGACTTGAGTTTCATAGAGAACGGCCTTTGAGTTCCACTTTTGTGGAAATACGGCTAAAACCAGCGGTTGAAACCGTCGTAAGAAACTACAATAGCATGGCCGCTCTCAGGCTTCTCTCTGTTAAACAGTAACTCTCTCTTTGTCTATCAATGTCTGTGGTGGGATCAGGGGGTCGATTCTGTAACTCAAGTGAGGCTGCTTTCCTTTTAGGAGACACAGTCGACACAAGTCGACACAAGAGCAGAGAGAAGCCTGAGAACGGCCATGCTATTGTAGTTTCTTACGACGGTTTCAGCCGCTGGTTTTAGCCGTATTTCCACAAAAGTGGAACTCAAAGGCCGTTCTCTATGAAACTCAAGTCGCAGATCTTGTGGAACTGATCAATCACATTGGTCGATTGGCTGATTTGACTCTGCAATTGGTCAATTCCACGAGATTTGTTACTTGCGTTTAATGTAGAACGGCCTTCAAGTTCCACTTTTGTGGAAATACGGCTAAAACCAGCGGCTGAAACCGTCGTAAGAAACTACAATGGCATGGTCGCTCTCAGGCTTCTCTCTGCTATTACCCATGGACTATCGGCGCAAATTTGGTCTGTTTTAATTAGTTGTAATTTTTTAAGCCGTTTTTTACTTCAATATTTGATATATAAAAATAGTAATATAAAAACTTTCTCATTGTAATTTTATACTCATAAATATTAAATATACTAAGAAATATTAAATATCTTACGAACTAATAATAATAAAGAAGATTCTTCATTAGAAGAAATTAGAAGAATTCTTAAAAATCTACGCTGGCGGAAAAAAGCGTTATTAAGACTATCTGATTACTCTTCGATAGATGTACAGAGGAATCACTGAACTCTATATACACTGGAATGCGCATCTCCATCTAACAAGTATAGCGAGACGTGGCGCAAATTGAGCAGCGCCATTTTTGTTTGGCCTGATATTTGAGCAAATCAGAAGCGCGTTCCACGCGCGGTCCCGCTACAAGTTAGCGACAAGAGATGTTGTGTGCCCGGGTGTGGGCAGAGAAGTGGAAAGGGGATTTCATTTCATAGGTAAGAATTTTGGTGTGAAATATATCGGTTGCATGTATTAACAATGTAGGATGAAAATCGTTAGGTTAGGATGTTGTAGATAGAAATAATATTGCATTTTTTTATAATTGAAATAAAATTGTATTAAATTGTATTGAATTGTATTTATAATTGAAAGTGTGTTGAATGAATTTTTGCAATGATTGAAGTTTTTCTAATTTGCATTTTTTTAATAATTAAAATAAAACCATTTTGTTTGAAGATACAATGATATTTTGTAACAAGCGCACGTGTACTTTGTGCCTTTTTTACTATTTTAAAAACGGTAGGTTTTTACATTGTATTAATGAGCAAATTTATACTTATATTGTATTAACGAGCAAAAGTCCTTTTATACATATTTGTTTATTAATTTGTTTGTTAATTTTGTTTATTAATTTTACGTAAATTTCTTACTACAAACTCCTAAAGAAACTTTTTCTATTTTGTTACTTTTTCATCTCCGTCATCCACATTATAGCGGGACCGCGCGTGAAACGCGCTTCTGATTTGCTCAAATACCAGGCCAAACAAAAATGGCGCTGATCAATTTGTGCCATGAATTTTCTTTGATGCGCATTCCAGTGTATATAGAGTTCAGTGAGAAGAGTGCACCATATCGTTCCGCTCCAGGGGAAGTATTTCTCGGAAATTTCTCTTCCGGCTGTCCCTACTATCGCGCGTCGTTTTCCTTCAATCTCGGGCCGCTAGCGGATATCGAAAGAGTACGGCGCGCGGTAGTAAAAGCAGCCAGAAGAGAAATTTCAGAGAAAAACTTTTCTTGGAGCGGAACGATATGGTGCATCCTTCTGTACGAAGTATTGCAAGACAAACTCCAAATGCCTCGGTGGCCTAAAGGGTCGTCTACAATGGAGAGTTTTAGACTGTAACAGTAAGAAACTGACAAATCACAATCGATTATTCTTCTGT